TGTGTAACATTTTAAAAGCAAAAAATTAATACTCATAAAATACAAATGAATTGTGTACAAACCCTGACACAAAGATAGAATTTTTGTTTTCTCGCATTTCTTATAATTTTTAATAGTTTTTTCTCCATTTTAACAACAACAACAACAATATTGTTTCAATTCTTTGTAAAAAAAATTTAAATAAAAAATCATTATAAAAAAAAAATGGATGTCTAGAGTATGTACATTTTTCTGTTAAAATTTTCTGCCTTTTTAAGGTGAGTAAGTGAGTCACACGACACACTATTATTATTTTACACTATACACTATTAAGCAATACTATTCATAAAATGTACTTTTGATATTATTGTATGAGCAAATTCATTTTGTATTTTTTTCTTTTCTTTTATTTTTTGCTTAACATATCTACATGGTGGTGTAGTTTTAATATAATAAATAAATAGTGCCTGTTATTGCTATTATTTCTGTTCATTTTTTTTTTGTATTTTTGCCATTATTATTGTAGAAGATAAATATTACACTCAAAACTCAATTTATTTTTCGTTTCGTTTGTATGTTCGTTAATTCGTTTTGTTCGGTCAAAAGTTTTGAAAAGTTTTTTGGTTTGGTTATCATTCCGAATCATGAGCGGTACGGGTTAAGATGTTAGTGCGCGCTTAACATTAATAAACTTTTTTTTTTTTTTGATATTTCATTTTCTCGTTTATATTTAATTAGTTAAATTATATATGTACATGTATATCAAGTTATATACATGTTATATTATAGTTATATGAAATTAATGTAAAAAGAAATAAAATATAAAACCAAGTATAACTATATTTGAAACAATATTATTGAAGAATTAAATAAAAACATTTATTGTACATACCTACATACATATTATGTGTGCTATTGAATTTGATTTTAATGAATGATTCAAGATTAAATTAAGTGGAATTAATTGAAATAATTATAAAGTGAGCTTATATAGGAAAAAAAAATTCTACCTCAGGATAATTTTATTACAAGAAAAGTGGTGAAAAGTTTGCAAAGAAAAAAATTTATTAAATAATTTCAAGAAAAACAGAATAATTTTTTTTTTTATAAATTTTGCAATTTTCTAAAAAAAAATGCAAGTGATTTTTTTGTGTTTATATTAAAAAAATAGTAAAAAGGTGCGGTGCAGTGCATAATTTTTTTAAATATGAATTTTTTATTGGATACACTCAAAAATCACAATAACATTTTTATTAAAATGAATCTGAAAAAGAACATGCATGAATCTAGCATCATTTTTCAATGAGAAACATTTTAAAATTCAAAAATTTTTACAGTAAACATAACAACATTCTATGGAATAAATTTCTTCAAAAAGGATAATATTATTACTTATTATATTCAAATAGAAATCAAAAAGGAAAATAGAAGAAGAAGAAAAAACATATTCTACTTTATAAAGGAATCAATAATTTAAAAATGTAAAACGGATATTCAAAAATATTTCTTAAAAAAAAAATAGAAATACAGACAAAATAAAACACAAAATTTAGAACTTAAAAATAAAACTTAAATGTAAAATTGTTATATTAAAAATATTTTTAGTACAAACTGCATCTAAGAATGATAATCATCGTGTAATACTGCCGCTCTATTTCAAAATATTCATAATTTTATAACAATAAAATAAAAATATGTGCAACAGTAACAGTAACAACTAAAATGAATTCTGTGTAATTTAACATTCTCACAATTTATTTATATACATTGGTAGCATTCAAGTACAAATGTTGCAAAGAGAATATTATAAATTCTAATAAAATGTATTGAAAGAGTCGTCATTATTATACACAAATGAAGAATTTATTTTCTCTTTGAAAAAAAATGTACAATTTGTTCTAAACACATAAGTAATAAAGTATTACATTTATATAAATATAAAAGTAAGAGAACATTTAATAGTTATATGCAGAAAGAGTAGAGAATAAAAAAAAAACAAAATTCATTCACAACACTTTTATTATTTTTATTCTTTTTTCTTTTAATGAAACAGAAAGTGAATTTTATATTCTTCTTATTTACATAATTCAAGATTATATTATTTTATGAAATTTGGTATATAAGAGTTGAAATTTTAAAATTGCATACTATCTCACATTCAGATATGGACTCTTTTGTTTTTTATTTTAAATAATAATTCTGATTTGTGTAGTTGTGTTTTTTTAAGAGAATGGAAAAAAATTTTATTCGAAATATTGTAAACTAAAAATTATTATAGTATATTGTAAAATATTTAAAGTATATAAAGTGAGAAAATTTCTTTTGAGAATAATATATTTGAATAATATTCTTTGAGTACACTTAAAATATTCTCTTAAATAGTGAACATATCTCATAAACTTTATAGAATTGTGAATATAAAATTTTTTACATGTTTAAGAAAGTTGTGCATTCAAAATATTAGAAATAATCTAATCTAATAAAAAACATGAATTATATATTAGAAATTATGTACTACAATATTATACATACATACATAATATTTAATATGAATATAGAGATGTGTAATTCAATAAAGTACATATTTAAGCAATTATAATCATTAGAAGAATAAATTAAAGAATTAGGAAAAATCTAGACATTCAATACTCAATTTTGTACTTTTCTTACAATTCATAAATTATTATTTTGTAGTACTAAAAATTTAAAATTTTAAAGAAAAAGATGAGAAAAATTTAATTTGCAGTGTTGAAATGACAAACAGAAACAAAAAAAAAATTTGCAAGTGATTAGTGATGATTACTGCGACATGAAACTGAGAAAAATTATAAAAATCAAGAGACATAACATTAACTATTTAAAATGCTTACATTCTATAATTAATTTCTCATTCTCACAATCTTTTAAATATTCTATTAAGAAAAATTAAAAATTCTAACAGGTACATTGCAATGTTAAATTGAATTAAAAAGCAAGAAAACTCTACTACTGTTAAACTTCTCTATTATACAGTATTTTCGAATGTTATAAATTTTTTACAGTTGAGAATTGCAATATTCTGTTAGTATATCAAAAAAAGTGTATAAAATTCTATTATTCTCTATTTCTGAATAATATTATTCAGTGTTCTCTAAAAACTGTTATATACATAATATATGTATATTGTAATTTGTAGTACATTAATCAATTTATATAAAAATTAAAAATTTATACAAACTTCTACATTTACTAAGAGGCAAAAATTAAAATATAGAAGAGCATAAAATTTTTATTAAAGAATTTTTTTTTTTTTTTAGTTTTTGTTCTATTAATTCACACACACATTTATATTTATATCTATGCTATAATTTAGATTGCTAGATATGAATGTTATATGATTCGTATATTCTAAAATATTAAATAATTTTTCTATATACACATGCATAATATCGCTCACGATTATATTATAGAATATAGCTTAAAAGAAGAGAAAATAAAATTCAAATGTATTGTATTTGTATATTATATACAAAATAACATAATATTATAAACAAGAACAACAAAAAATTTATAATCAGAACAAAAAAAAACACACAGAAAAAAAAGAAAATAATCTAAAAAAACATTAAGGTATGTTCTTATTTTCAAAGTAATATGTGTGTGAATAAAAAAAGAAGAAGAAAAAAATAAAAAGTGAAAATAAAACAACAACAGAAAAGAAAGAACAAGAAGAATAAAAACGAAATTAAAAAAAAAAAAGAAACAAAAATATTAAAGCATATTAGAGAAACAGTCAGTCAGTATGTTGGAAAAATTTGTTTGAAAAACTAAAAATAAGAACAGAAATAAAACAAAAACTCAGAAAAGAACATAATAAGAAAAGAAGAAGAAAAATAAAAAAAAAATTATGATTTTCTCAGTGGTTCTTGTCACAACAACATTTTGTTGAAAATTGAAAGCGAAATTCCTGTTTACCGTAATGTTTCAGTACGAATAATACCGTGATAAGTTACGCATCTTATATTGTGTGCGTTTAAGAAAAAAATTTTAAAAATAAATGAAGAATTAAAAATTATATTTAAAATAAAAAAAAAATAATTTTATAAAATATTAAAAATAAAATACTTAAGTATAAAATTGTTAAACAATTTTTAAAAAATGAAATTCCAAATAAAATAAAAAAAAATTTATTATAAAATAATTTTATAAAAAAAAATTTTATATCAAATTTTTGGGAATACAAAAACGATTACAATAACTATAAATATTTAAAAAAATAAAATGAATATTACATGAGATGATTAGAATCAAAAAATTAAAAATAAATACATGGAATTTGAAAAACAAAAAATTATTAAATTTTTTAAATAATTCAAATAATTAATTTGACTTAGAATTCAAATAATTGTTATACAATATAAGCAAAACAAATTAAAGGGAAGAAAAAAAGAGGGAAGTGAAAGTTAATGTACAAGGATTTTGTGATTTAATTGAAAAAAAAAATTAATTAAATTAAAATAAAATTGTTCAGAAATAGAAAATTTTCTGAGTATATAATATAATAAATGTATTTAATATAATGTTTGGTAGAAAATTAACAAAATAAAATCAAATATTTAAATATGTAAGATTTTAAAATACAAATAAATTATTAAATATAGTTAAATTATTTAAATATAGAAATTTAAACAAAAAAAAAAAATAAGAAAAATTACCTCAATTTTATACATAACGTGCATATATATATATATATAATTTACACATTATTAAATATTACAAAAATAAGTAATTAATTCAAAAAGATACCTACATAATATAAAATATTATTTAAGAATAATGATAAATTATTTAAAATAAATATTATTAAACAAAGAATTCAAATTCAAGAATATTGGAATAAAATTTATTAAGTATAACAAATTATATAAATATAGTTACTTAATGTTAACTATTATAAATATATAAAAAAAATATTTCATATTAAACATTATTATTGTAAAGAACAAGAAAATATGAAGAAAATCTAAATGAAACTAAAAGTGCAAATTAATTCTAACCTTTTAAGAAGAGAAATTAAAACAAACAAACCAGCAAAAAATAGTATAAAAGTTTTAGTATCAAATTTTGATATAATAAATATATATACGTATATTAAAAATACTTTGTAAAATTATTTATTGCAAAATATATAGAAACAAAACAGAAACTGAAAAAAAAAATAAAATTAAAAATTTTAAATAATAAAATTATTTTATTGATTTAATCATGATAATGCTACAACATATGCAGCCAGCAAATCCATTTTCTGGTAAAACACAATTATCTACAACATCTACATCATCAGCAAAACAAGGATCATCATCAACAACAACAAGTCCAATAAAACATTATAATAATAATAATCAACAATTATCACCAACAGATTTATCATCATCTTCATCATCATCAAATCAAACAGTTATTAAACATGATATAACAGTTCAAAATAAATTAATAAGACGTAGTCCATCACCAAATCATATTTCAATAATATCAAAACATAATGGATTAACAAGACGATCATCATCTAATAATGGATCTCCAAATTCAATGGCAATAATTAATGATGATTGTTCAAGTCATCATAGTATCTCAAATAATAGTAATGATGAATATGATGATATAAATCTTCAAGAACATAAAAATATCAATAATAATACAATTCAACAACAATTAATGCGACCAATTGTAATACGAAGACGTTCAACTACATTAAGTCCACATAGTCCTAGAGAACAATCTGAAACAAATAATAGTAATAATAATAATTGTAGTAATAATAAAAATAGTGATATTTTACGACATCATCAAAATAAAAGTCCAATACATCAATCATCACAGCAATTACATTCACATTATATTAATAATAATAATAATAATAATAATAGTAATAATAATAATAGTATTCAACATATTATTGATGAAAATTCTTCATCACAACATAATGATATACAACATCACTCAAATAATAATGGAATAATAACATCTGAATTAGAAGCAATAAATGGATCAAAATCAACTGTTGTCTTATATAATCATTTAAGACGACAATCATCAAGATCTCCAATAACAACAACACCTTTATCATTATTAAATGAAACAAAATCATCATCATCATCATCAGCAATATATTTACCAAATAATCAAATAATTGGTAATTTATCATCATCATCACCAACAAGATTATCATCAAGACGTTCTCAATCTAGATCACCAGATGGTGCATCACCAAAACGATTATATAATAATAATAATAATAATAATCATCATCAAAATGATATTGATGATCATAATAATAATTATTCATTAAGATATATAGAACGTCATCGTGATCATCATAATGATCAACGTGAAAATAATCACAATCATCAACATAATCATAATACAAATCATTCTCAACATCAACAACAACATAATTTAATAACAAATGAAACAAATGGATTAAATATTCATAATAATAATGATAATATACCAATTAGATCAACAGTTGTAATGTCTAATAGAAATACAATTAGTCCAACTGAACATCATATTCATCAAGAACAACAACAACAACAACAACATAATATTCATAATCAATATCAGAATCATCATAATAAATTTTTATCATCAGAACATAGTGATTCTGAAGATCATGATAGTAGCAGCTATGATATTAAACCAAGAATATATCATAGACAAAAATCAATTGAAGATATTGAAAGACGTCAGATATGTAGTGAAGATTCTGATTATGAAACACATCCAGAAGATAATTATAAAGTTGATGATAATCATCGATATGATCGAATGAATATTGATAAAATTAATAATCAACGTTATATACGTAATAATCAAAATAATAATAATAATAATAATAATAGCGATATGAATGAACGTAATTTAGTTGATGATGAAGAAGATGATGATGATGATGAAGATAATGATTTTGATAAACCATTAGATTTATCATTAAGAACCGGTGTTGGACATAAACGTGAACGTACTTATTCAGCTGAATCAGATGATTCATTATCAGCTGGCGGTAATAGTGAAATGGATGGAGAAAAAAATAGTAAAGAAAAAGCAGCTTATAAGAAAAATTTAATGAAACGTTACTGTAAGTCATTTTATTATTCTCTTTTTTTATTTAATTCCAAATAAATTTATAAATAAAAGCATTTTTTAATTGAAAATATAAAAAATTCCAAAAATATTTGATTAAATTGAAGAGTAATCTAGAAATTCGAGTTTAACCAGAATAATACTGATTGCTACGGCAAGATTGTATTCAAATAACGTATCAAGTTCTTTTCAGAACATTTTCACACATAAACTTATTTCAATTATTGGATTTAACCTAATAAAACTAGAATTCCCTTTATATTAAGTATAGGCTTACTATACCAAGGCTGCGTATATGGCACTTATTTAAACACCTATAAATTCACATTACGAATATTTCTGCAAAATAGTTTTTATATGTCAAATAATATTCTGTCTAGTATCATTAAAGCTCTTAGAGCAATTTAAATTTAAAATTAAAAAGCAAAAAAATTAGTCACAAAAGAATTTAATTACTTATTTTTCCTTAAGAAATCAGGACACCTAAGTAGTTTTATAAAGAAAACAAGAAGAAAATCCACTCTCATATTCCTTTTTCTATATATATATATATATATATATATATATATATATATATATATATATATATAAACTTAATGCCTTACTTATATAATTACATCATAAGTCGTGCATTTAAGTTCTATATTTCTCTTTTCCTTTTCATTTATTCTCTTCTTCCTTAAAAACTTCAAATATTTTCTCATATTATTATTTTTTCTTTTTTTTTTTTTTGAAATTTTTCCAATGATTTGGGGTTAAAAACTAGGTCACCTAACATTCTTATTTTGTATTGTTCTAGAATTACCTTTTACATTATTATTAAGTCTTATATTTTTATAAATATTTTTACCCTTTCTGTTTGCTATGCTTGTAAGTTTTATACCCTCTCTCTTCCTCTCTCTCTCTATCTTTACCTTTCTATATAGATCAAAATTAATTTTGCATTTAGTTCTTTATATTTCTTTGTCCTGAAAATCAAACTTCCTATCAATTATAATCAATAAAATTATATAGTACGACATTTTATATAATAATAAAATGTTCTACCTATATAAGAAATGTATATATACATACAATAATAATAATTCTTGTACTTACTGTGAAAAAAATATATGTATTTGAAAAGAGGAACAAAAAAAATTATTATAAGGAATCCTCCTATTAATCGAAAATTGATTATGAAAATTGAACAGGGGGGGCACAAACAATAGAATTTATAAGGTTTCAGAAGTTGCAATCAATACTCAATATATAAGTAATAGATTTAAAAAATGTATTAAGCAATTTATTCGGAACTTGTATCCTGCGACTGTCTGGTTTATGGTACAAAATTTTGTTGATGGCCGAAATGTAGAAAAAAAATCCGAAAAGTAAAAATATTATTACTACTCAAATAATTATTAATACTTTGCTCTTCGTTCAATATTAGTTTCTATAATAATGTTATTTCTTGACCTTATCCGAGAAATTCGACAATAATTACTTTGAAATAAGAGAAAAACTGTTCGTCGCGCACGCTCGTGAAAATAGTTCGGAAATCTTCAATTAATTATCAAGTCAGACCAGGTAAATTACAATGATTAAATTTTCAATTTCGGATATTTTTGCTACATTGGATCTGGTTATACTTATATTATTAAACGGAATTAAGGATGGGAGCCTTGAGGCCGAATTTTAACCAAAAAATTCAGTTCCGTAGATAAAAATTTGTTTAAACATTTTATGTACTCTAGTAATTTGTTCAAGATTTTGGACTTTCTCTTTAAGGACTACTTGTATTTTCTGCTTATGCAGGTCAGATTTATCCGTAATACATTCAAGAAACACTCTGTATAGATTTACATTTATATATGTATGTAAGTAGTTATATATGGAATCAACCAATTTAAATAGGTGACTCTTGACAAAACGACTTTTTTAAAGAACAAGTCATAATTATACAATAATAGTGTAATCACAAAAAAAAAAAAAATAAAAAAAAAATTATAGAACACCAATTTCCGATAATTTTTTTTTTTATTTTGTTCAAAAGAAATTTTTCAATTTCAAAAGAAAAACAAAAAAAAAAAATTGTTTTTAAAAAATCCTTTTTTATTAAAAAGAAAAAAATAATAAATATTTTATTTCACCGCTTCTACTCGTTCGTATTGTAAGTGTTGTTGTCGTTGTTGTCGTCACCTCAATCAACATCAATTTAATCAATATCATCATTATTATCATCATCAATAAGATTGAATAATTTCGATAATTTTTCTATAAGAAAATTGACTCCATAGGCATTTACGTAAAAAAAATTTTTTTTTCATTTTCTTCTTGTTATTACTAATAATATCCTTTTTGATATCCATCATATGTGATTATAAAAAAAAAAAACAACATAAATGCATAAAAGAATTGCATATATGCACGAAATATGCGAGAACATGTACAAGAATTGAACATTCAAACATACTTACATAAAATATCCAACATTTTTAATGTTATGTCACAATATACGCCTATGGTGCAACATTATAACAACAAATAAAATAAAATTGAAAACTAAAAGCAACAAAAAAAAAGAAAAAAAAAACAAGAAATAAAGGAAAAAGAAAATTTTGTTGTTTTGTTGTTTTTTCTCTTGCTGAGTTTTTTATACATTTTTACTGTACACAACACTACACACACACACACATAAAGAGAAGAAGCTGAAGTATAGAATTATTGTCAAAAAGAAAGGGTGAGAGAGGAAATAACAAAAATAAAATAATAATAAAAATACACAAAAAAAAAACAAAAACATCAAAAAGGAGTCACTGACACATATTTTTTTTTTCTTCTTCTTCTTCATGTTTCTTTAGGCTTTCAATTCAATATGCATTAGGTTACCTCAATTCTTTTATAATTTCTCAGAACATATCCTTGAACGATATATTTTTTTTTTTATTTTTGTTATTTTTTTGTTTCTGTTTTCCATATTATATAAGTACTATATTATTTTTCTTTTATTGTTACAATCTCCTCACATATGTAGATGAAATGTGAGCGTATGTTATAAAAAAAAAAACAAAAACGAAAATCTCCTTATAGTTCGAACGAGAATAAATAAGTAAAAACCCTTTTTTTGTTTCTTATATAAATTCGCTTTTAAATCTACTTTTATATGAAATTATAAAGATGCATCTATAATGCAAACCTATATAGGTCTGATATACATATACGTATGAATATGCATAAATGAAGAAAATTTTCTCTAACATCCTTAAATTTTATAAGAGTTTAAATGGACAAAAAGGGGCAAATATCTAACGGGCAGTTTTTGTATATTAAAAAACAAAAATATTCTAAAAAGGAAGAGCAAATTAGTTGTAGTATTGAAAAGGACATCATCAAAATATTATATTTACTTAAATGAATATCCTTAAGGAAAGGAGGTTTATTTTCTTTTCTTGTATTATTTTGGTAATTCTGTTCTTATATAAGTTATAAATTAAGTTTCTTTGTGTCATATTTGTGTCATGTTTGTGTACAGACCAAATTTTGAATGAAAAATAAATTGTACTTTTGTTGATTCGTTTTATACCACCTAAATATTTTCAATGCAAAAATCGAGAAAAGAGCTCGAGAAACAGAAATAATTTTGGAAAAAAAAAATGTAATATTTGATTGAGCATAATCGAATGAGCCTGTCCTAGCTTAACCCTTAACTGCTTTTTGTAAAGAAAAATGTATTTATTTCTTAGTTGCAAATATTATTCTGGTTTCGTATGAAATTACTCAAAAAATGTCACCAATAATTCTCGAACTTTCTGTATCTATATTGTATCTATGTAAAAGTGTAGTGTCTGCAAGATGCAAATTAAAGAGTAATTTTCAATAAAATTAAAAATTATTGCAAAACCATTTTGCATCCATTATCAAGTCATTTGTATTCTGAATTTTTTTTTTTGCAATCCTATACGTTTAAATACTAATAGTTTGGAATTTCAAGTTGATTATGCTTGAAACTTCTAACAAAAAATTTTATTACATCTATGAAATTTGCTCGTATAACAATAACAAATTAACCCATTTGTTCCCAATGTTCTGAAATTGGAATCGACATAGGAATCAATCCTATAGGTTATATTTAGCTAATTTTCTTTGTCTTAAAATCAATGTCAATATTTGTACGCTAAGAAATATTTGTCTCAGAAAGATCTAAACGTTTTTCAAAAATTTAACCCATTCATTTATATATGAATGTAGTAGAGTCGTAATTATTATTCAAAGAAATCTTGAAATTTAAAACCGTTATACCACTTTCGCTTTTTAAATTTATTTCCTATACAAAATTTACAATTTTTGCATGTCTTTAATGTTGTGATCGTATTTATGTCACAAGAAATAAGGACATATACTCTTACACATATGTATAAATATGTATGTTTAGAGATGTTCTAAAATCGAAAACAGGATATTTTTTAAATGCGAAGCAAAAAAGGAAAAAAAAAAAACTTTTCCCAGTATGAAATTTTTCCTGTATTTTTCCTACATCCGATATTTTTGCAAAAAATTTTTTGTTTCCTTTTTTTCATTTTCTTGCTTTTTTTTTTGTTTCTTGTTTTACAATCAGATTATTTATTTTATAACTTGATCTAAAGAAAAATATAACGGTTTTGAAAGGAAATTTTCTTTGTTTTATTTATTTTTTTTTCTCTTGGTCTACATTTTTTGCTTTGGCAAATTAGAACTCTTCCATATATACATTTGTTATACTACATTTTTTTATACTCCTAAATATGTATATAAATGAATTTTAAATAAGGTCTATAACAGTTTATTTTACTGCCCGAATAACATAGTTATTTTAAGGATGACATCAAAATTTTCATGGAAGATTCAAATTATACGTAAATATACATGAATGATTGGTGATAATACAATAGTGAGAATTCATAGTGGAGAGTTTTATAGTGGAGAGTTTACAAAAATCGGTTTGCAATACTATTTGTAAACTTGAATGCAAAATTTTTC